GGGAAAGAGGATAATCTCACTTTTTGTGATTTCTTTTGTGATAAATGTTTATGAAGGATGAAGAACTTAGATACAGAAAATTGTGCCTATGCTGGTGTCACATAGTACTGACATTATGGTGCTATAGCTATTTATATTTGAGCTTCTAGAAAAATTACAAAGGTAGATCTAGAATACTTTGCTTTTTTTTTTTTTCAAAAGTATTAAGATAGTCATGTGTATGTTTTTCATATTTTAAGTATCTTTTCTTGAAAAGTACTAAGCCTTAAGTTATAAACTAGATATGTGGAAGACTTTATTTTCATAGCTTTTTGTGCCAAATTTAAAAAAAAAATACCGATTTTAAAAACTATTGTATTTTTAAATTAAGTGCTAGACAATGAGTACATAAAATGTAGCAGAGCAAAATGTCTTTAAGATCATGCAGTGCTAACAGAAAGTTTTTGTTTGTTTCTAATTATAGGTAAAATTATAAAATCTGTTCCAGGAAAGCTGATGAAAGAGGTGAGTTAAGTCTTCCAGGTTGCCAACATTTTAACTTCAGTGACTAATTTTATGTGCTACTAACTTATAGGGTAGTCAAAAATTTGTTTGGAAACTCAGGTTTTTGTTTGTTTGGTTGGTTGGGTTTTTTTCTATAATTATGCAAGTGACAGGTCACTTGTATCTTATTTCAGAAAGGTCAGCATTTGGAGCCATTCATCATGAATTTTATCAACTCCTGTGAATCTCCCAAGCCTAAACCAAGTAGGCCTGAACTTACCATTTTGAGTCCCACTTCTGAAAACAACAAGAAGGTACAGTAAGTCATCTTCCTTCCCTGCTTTACAGGAGTGGGGAAAATTGACCATACTCTGAAAATGCAAAGAACAGAAAAACCCACAAATACAACAGCTTACCTATTTTGCATTGTCTTTTCCCACAAGAAAGAGAATAGTAGTGCAGGGAGATATGTCATCTTCTGTCTTGTAAATGTCTTAGTCTGAATGACTTTTGAGGGTTGGTTGGTTGGGGTTTTTTTGGTTTTGTTTTTTAAACTCTTACTGGATTTGGAGATGAGGATACAGAGTAGAGAGCCTGGGAAGTACAGAGAGAAGAGGAGGGAAAGCAGAGGTGTAAAATGAGGAATGTTTTAATACCATAAAGCAGCTTCCTTTTTGAAGTGAAATGAGCTTGAGTGTTTGACAAATGTGTGGCTTGTCAAAGTGCTACAAGCCAAAATTGTGAAGTTGCCAATACCTGTTTATCTGCCTTTAAAACGTTAGTATACAGTTTGTTGATGTCTGGCATACATAATATATTAGCCATATAACTTAACTGTAGTTTCTCTCTCCGACATTGCCACTGCTAAAGCCCAACACTTCCAATTTTAACCCTTTATTTAACTATAGGAAAAGGTCATTCCTTTCATAATTTTCCTGTATTTGTGGCTAGAGACTGGTAAGTTACTTGAAAGACTTCCATTAGGTTCAGGGGCTTTAAGAAGACACTGGTCTTTATTTTTGTGTTAGATTGCTTTAGAGTGTAAATATATTTGTGGAATTTACAGAGGAATATTGTTTCTGGACTACGATTTCAGAGACCCAAGCTCAGTGTTACAGAGTTGATGTGATTTGGGACAAAATATTTAATGTGCATACACTTTGCCGTGTGAGAGATTCTAAAAGAAAACTCAGTACTATATGCTTTTCTGCTATCTCATTGGCTTTGGAAAGAGGAGTTGAAACAGGAGTACATAAGCTGGGACATTTCATTTTGCAAAGTGATAAATTAGAGATGTATGTAGTCTAAAGAATAATGCATACCATGAGAGGGCAGGGGATTAAGACTGGGTTTTTTCCCCTCTCTTTTCTAGTGCAAAAACTAAGAGGCATTAAATGAAGGTGGTAGGAGCCAGGTTCAAAACAAAAAGCTGTAGCTCTTGCAATGGTTAGTAGATTGGTGGAACTCCTTGCCAGAAGATGATGTGAATACCAGAAGTTTAAATAACTATAAGGCGAGACTGGACAAATTCACAAAAAAGGAAATATATTCAAGGTGAATACCTGTAGAGAAGCTGCATCCAGCTCTTGAACTTTTTTTTTAGTTAAAAACAATTGGAGGCTGGAAGAGTGTTGGTGAAAAGTACTGTCTATGCGTGTTTTTTTTCTTGCAAGAGCTAGAAGCCCAGGATCCATTTATGGTTCATGTTGGTGATGGGCTGTTAAAAAAGTGGACCTTTTGATTTCCCCTGCTATGGACATTTTTACAGTGTTATGACACTTACAGAATTTGCAGGTACAAAACTTTTATACTGATTAAGTATAATGGCAGTTAAATCGATTAATTTGTTTACATCTTCTAAACTTGAAGTCTGAATTACTACAGCCAATATTGTATTGTTAGCTTACACGTGCACACACAAATAGTAGTTTTCAAGTCCTTTCTTACCTTGGACGCTGTTTCTAAGGTTAAGATATTTTGCTGTTGCTGTCTATTCAGAGGGGTATCAGCAGTTTTAAAAATCAGATGTAGAGTTTTTGACTTGCGCTAGAAACAGTACATGCGTAAATACTTCAGCTGTTTTTTATAAAACAGCTGGCAGCATACTACAGCATAGTATGAACAATCAGTTAATTTTTTACTGTGATCTGTCCAGAACAGGGTCTGGAATGAGGTTTTCCCAATTCTTCAGGGTGATGCCCGGGAAGCAAAGAGCTGGCTGCATTTTGGCTTTCATTTGGAATACTGAAGTTTCCTTAAACAAAACGTAGATCTTTACTGCCTTCTGTTTTCTAATGTCATTTTCAGAAATAGTATTGTGGGGGAAATCTTATCACCGTTGACTAACTGTCCATGTAGGCACTCCATTGGAGACACAAGTTAGTAGAGTCAAAATTGTTGCTAGTACCGCTGATTACCCTGTAGGAGGTGCTTTTGTCACGAGATAGGAGTTTCTTTGCAGACAGCAAAAAAGATGAGGCTAGCCCCAGCTCTCCACTACTCACTATTGTGAGAGTGAGTTCACTGTTTTTCTAAGCAACTTTATTCTAATTAGCTGTTTTATGAATAAGTACTTGGTTCTACATATATTTTAGATTTTCTTTTCTCTTTCCCAAAAGAAACCTGTTTTGTTTTGGGGAGCCATTTGCTGTAAATGGATGGAAAGTTTCAGACTTCAGTATATCTCCTGCAGAGCTATGGTTATTATTTAATGATGGGCACTCAAGACAGTTTGCCTTGGGGGATGCTGCAAGACAGTTCTATGATCAGATACTCGGTATTTGTGATAAAATTATACTGCCAATTTTGACCAGCAGAGGCACGTATGCGTAAGGAATTAATGTGCTGACTGCTTTCTCACTAATTTCCCATCTATCAGTTTAGCTAGAGCGCACACACGTACTCACATGTTAACTGTAATTATTAGAGATCTGATATCCCAGGTTGTGCTGTATTACGGTCTCTGCTGAGTCTTCCCATGCACATTGTAAAATTCATCTCTCTTGCTGATTTGTTGGGGTGCTTGCGCCTTCTTTGGAAGACAGTTTTCTCTTTCTCGAGTCAGCCCACGCTTAGGAAAAGCTTTGTGCCAGGTGCCAGGACACTGTGCCATTTACATCTTGTCACTTCTTGGAGTTGATTTGGAAGCCACAGTGGTTTCATCTGCCAGACTGTTTTAGTTCAGATCAGCACTGCTTTTTTGGAAGCAAATCTCCTGATCATCTCTGCTTATCGCTTTTTCTCTTGCACAAGGGAGCTGTCTTAGAACTCATTAACTGAATTTATTTCAGATGAAATTAAGCTGGAAAACGCTGTCTAGGAATGCAGGTGCCAAGGGGTGTTCAGTCCAAAGGCCAGACAAAGGTAGACTGAGGTAACATCCCTCCCTACCCCGCCAAATACATCTGGCATAGACTTCAGTTGTTCAGTTCTGCAGTTTCACTTCTGTTGTGCCACGTGACATCTTCATGAAGACGTAAGCACTGTGCAGCACCCTTACCCAGTAGAAGCTGGTGATGGAGATGAATGCTAAATGCCTGTACCAAGATTGTGTGAGCTACCTGTATAGAGTCGATGAGGAGATCTGGCAGGCAGCTGAAGAGATGCAAGGTTGGCACTTACAAGTGCCCGTGTGAGCAGAGCATGTTATCTCATAGCAAGAAGGTTGTACAGCACAGAATCTTTTGGTTAATGCTAGAGTCAATTTCCAGCTGATGCTTGTATTGCCACAGTGTTCCCATATACCTTGTCTGGCACAGTTCTGTTTATTCTAGTACCAACATGTTGGAATCCACTGTACAATACATATTCCCCAGTGCTTGTGCTGCCAACTCTGTTGCAATGAATAGGGTACGCCCAGCCTACCTCTTCTTCAACAGGCTGAATAAGAAATGCCTGAAAGTCTGTCAGGACAGGTGAAGGCTTGAGTTCAGTCAGAGATGTGCCTACTTCTCTGAGAGATTTTCCGCATGCTGCTTCCTTTTGAATATTCCTGGTGTATGTATGTTTGTATGTTTTAAATATTGGTGGAAAGACTTCTAGTTAAAAATACATAATGAATGTGGGTTACAGCCAGTAGCTATTGGATTTTGTCCTGTATCAGAACCACTAGATCAAAAGAGTTACCAACCTCCCTGGTTAAAACAAACAGGCAAACAAAAAACGCTGCTCCCTCCTCCTAGGGGCACCAACAGGATTTCTGGCTTTCCCAGCTATGTTTCTATTCTGAAGGTCTGTTAGCAGCTTGATCGTCTTCCGAACATACTTTTGTCAGACTTGCTAGAATAGGTCAGGACTTGTCAGCTGATGCAGACTTTGCAAAATATGTCTACAGAGGGATTGTTCTACTGGCTTGTGATGACCTGCTAACAGCAATAAAAACTGCTTTTGGAACACCAACAGTATAATGTATGTTTATGCATAGTTACTTGGAGGAAGACACGGTTGCTTTTCAATATGCTAACTGATGTGGTTCAGGCACTATGTACATTCTTTCATCTTACCGTTTTGGTATAGTCATCTGTACTGTGCAAATGAGCAGGAAAAACAGTAGAGAGGTTAATGCCTCTGGGTGTGGATGTTTGTTCATAATTGTGGTATTGCTTCTATAAACTTCACACCTATGCTGGAATGTCTAGGCATATATTTGCATATGTGCTCACTAACTGTGAGTAACTTTCTTTTTTCTATTAGGCACTTTAGGTAAGCATTCATATTTACTTTGCTAGCTTCTCCTATCGAGGTACAACAGATAGCTTCTCATACAGGGGATTACTTTGGTCTTTTTCTTAATACTGGCCTTTTATCTTTCACTTGCTTCAAGAGCTTGGCTTCCATTATTAACCAGCACCAATCCATGGAATTTCTTCATTGAAAACCTTTTAAGAGTATTTCATGGTTATAATCACAGTTACTGTTTGATCTTAAAGATATTAATAATGATAGCATTGGAGTTTGTCTTGTCTTTTTTTAGTCTAATTACAACTGAGCTTTATTATATCACGTGTCAAATATTAACATACGCAGAAACATTTAAAAGCAAAATCCTGTGCTTAACCTGAATTGTGAATATAATCTCTACTTCTGTATTAGATATCCAATTGTATGTTTTTCACTTGGCTTTCCTCTGAGCCAAAATCCTGCAAAGTGCGTCAGACCTTCTGAGTAGAGGTGTAATGCCACTTTGTGTTACGGCTGCCACATCCTTCAGATGTGCATTACTAATGAATAGTGTAAAGTATTTACTTTATAAAACTGCTCATTAGCTCAGTAATTTTGGCATGCATTGATCTGCTGTTGCTTTCTGAAATGCCATGTGCAAAAGTCTAAGCTTTCAAAGCTTGACAATGATCAAGGAACCATTCCATTCAAGGTGCAAGACAGATTATCCATGTGTAGAGGTACGTACAACATTCAAAAGATACTGCTTCTGGTTTGGGGTGAAAGTTGAAATAACTTTTGGAAGTCAAAAAGCTTTGCCCTAAGATGTCCTTGATGTCTGATTTTTTTTTTATAGATCACCTACTGGACTGCTGTTAATGATTTAGTTTGGCCTGTACACACTCCTCTGAACCTATATCTATGTTGCACAATGAGCTGCTTTGAGTTGGCTCAGTATGTATCACCTCTATCAGGTCGTGGAGTGTATCTAAAAAATAAATGAGGCTCTTGTTTAAGTTACAGTAATTCAACTAAGATTTCTCCAGTGTCCTAGAATCAGTATTGAGGAAGATATAGACTTCAGTTTATACACTTTTTTTTAAACAACATACCGGGGATGCCTTCATACAGTAGGCGTGAATAATTATGTGTTCTTTTTAGGTTTGTTACTTTCCTGGATACCAGTCATCCAGTGGTGCATTAACCGTATTTGCTCTTCCATGTAATTTATGTGATAACTTGGTGTTTAATTTGCGTGAACTTTGTGAAGATAATTCCAGCAGTTCAGCACTTAACAAAAGAGAAGGCCTAAAGAAGTACAAGTCAAAACCTGGGTCTCACCAGATTTCCTGATGTAATTTTTCCTAAGAATGCAGAGCACTTTTGTCCTGGTTTCAGCTGGGATAGAATTAATTTTCTTCCTAATAGCTGGCATAGTGCTGTGTTTTGGATTTAGTAGGAGAAGAATGCTGATAACACGTTGATGTTTTAGTTGTTGCTAAGTACTGCTTATACTGGTCAAGAACTTTTCAGCTTCCCATGCTCTGCCAGGTGCACAAGAAGCTGGGAGGGAGCACAGCCAGGACAGCTGACCCAAACTGACCAAAGGGCTATTCCATACCACATGATGTCATGCTCAGTATAGAAACTGGGGGGGGTTGGCCGGGGGGCAGCGATTGCTGCTCAAGAACTGTCTGGGTATTGGTCAGCAGGTGGTGAGCAACTGCATTGTGCATCACTTGTTTTTTATTATTATTATTATTATTATTTATTTTTCCCTTCCTTTTCTGTCCTATTAAACTGTCTCTATCTCAACCCACAAATTTTACTTTTTTTTTTTCCCCCCTTCCAATTCTCTCCCCCATCCCACTGGGGAGGGCAAGAGTGAGCAAACAGCTGTATGGTGTTTAGCTGCCTGCTGGGTTAAACCACAACAATTCTGTTTAGAGACTTGCATGGTTCAGAGCCTGTTGTGATGTTTTATGGCCTTACTTATTTCAGGGAGAATTGCTCTACAGAAAGTAAACCACATATAAGCAAATTACTTCCAATTCCTTGGAACTATTTTTAATTTGGGAGTGATACTGAAAAATCTGTGTCAGTAGCAATCATCTCAATCTTGGCAACACTAACTATGTTGTATTTGTCTTTAGTTCTGGGATGCATTTTTAGAAGCTTGGCATAAACTTTTAACTTTCTTTTCATAATACAGAGTATTTTGTGTAAATTCTTTTTTATCTTTAGATCAACAGTTTTGCGGATAAGATAATTTGAAATAAACTGTTAATGGTGATTGCTAGGTTTTGTCAAATGTAGAGAGCCTCAGGATTCAGAGAACTCCTCCTTTCCAGCTACTGGAGCCCACAGTAGCCTTCACCTGGGGCGGATGAAGGAGTACTGCCTAGGTGGTATGGGACTCCTTACAGGATGCAGGGAAGAGCCTCTTGGAATTTTACAAGTGTTACAATGGTATCTTTTGGGGAAGAACAAAAGGCAAGGAAATGGAGGGATCATGGTGGCGGTGGTGGGAACATGGGAAAATAGAAGGTTAAAGGAATAAAATGAGAAATGGGATAAATGGAAGGAAACCCAAACTTTGGTAACTTACAAAGATTCATGAAGTTTTTGCTATAAATAATCAAGCTGGCAGGGGAAAAAAAGGATTTCTCTGTGTAAAAAGTTGGATAATTTGTCCAGAAACCATTGCATTTATTTCAGAGTGGAAGCCAACAGGAAATTTTAGGAACACTTGGATGTTGTAGGGTTCCCCTGTGATTTAAAGCTGACAAACTCCTATCCTTTATGCCCCTCATTGACAGAACGGGGTGCATCAAAGGAATCAAAGCCTGCGATAAAAGTCTAGATACGTAAAGGTATTGGGAGCAAAAGGGCTCGGGAATTAACCTCTTGGTTGCCCTGCTGATTTGTTCTGAATCCAGGTATTTTGGTTGTCGGGAATCTTGGCAACATGTGACATGCTCTTTCTTTTCCCCCCCCCTTTGGAAAGTAAAAAGGTTTCTTTAAAAAAAAAAAGAAAAGAAAAAAAAAAGGAAAATTGATTAGTTCTTTGAAAGCTCTGGAAAAAAGCTACTTCTAATTAAAAAAAAAAAGCCAAAGAACTGATAGCTATCCTTTTGCCTTTAAATGCAGTGTTTTTAGTCTTATGTTTCTATTTTTAGCTTTTCAATGATTTATTCAAGAATAATGCAAACCGATCTGAGAATACAGAAAGACGACAAAATCAGAACTACTTCATGGAAATGATGACTGTAGAAGGAGTCTATGACTACTTAATGTATGTTGGTAAGAAGTGATTTCTCTTAATTGTTCTTATACTTCATGCCAAATATGAAGTTTTGGTTCTTTAGTAAGAAATAAAATTCTGTTGTAATCATCATATATGATTCAGCACTTGCAAGCTTAACAATATACAACTTAGGAACACAGTCATTCTTTAAAAGACTTCATTGCTGTGCTAAAATATCATAATTTATTATTCATTACTGCTCAGTTGTTTTGTTATATCTCTTTCTTTCTGCATCTCGGTGTATGAGCTTATGGGAGTAGGTCCCTTCCCTTTTCTCAGATGTGCCTAGACTGTTTGTACACTCTGGGAACTAATTAATAAAAATAGTTAAAGGAAATATTTGATAAGCAGTCTGGAGAATAGTGGGTTCTTTCAGCATTGCACTAAGAAAACTAAAATAACATTTGCTTGTTTTCTTTCTTTTTTATTTTGAATAAGTGAGCCATTTGTTATCATTATTAGGAGAACGTTATAAATATGTGCTACTGTAACTTTGCAGGTAGGGTAGTTTTCCGCATTCCTGACTGGCTGCATCACCTCTTGATGGGAGGAAGAATTCTCTTCAAAAATACATTGGAATTGTACACTGACTATTACTTGCATTGTAAGTTAGAACAGCTGTTTCAGGAGCACCGTTTGGTTTCTCTGATAACACTGCTGAGAGGTTAGTAAAAGTTACGTCTTTGATGTGAAAATACTGCTTTAGTTTGATATATGAAATCCCTTCTTTTAAGTTTCCAGTACTAAACTTTGCAATGCTTGACTAAAGCTAATGGAGTTTTAAAAATCAAGTTGGCCTATAAAAAGATTCCAAAAGCTCATTGTGGAAAGATGCCGAGTCAGCCATGTTGCCTGTCAATGATGATTACAGAAAAAAGTATTATGAATAGTAATTTGCGAAGGTTTGCAAAGAACAAGAAAAGCAGAATAAAGGCGGTTTAGTATAGCAGAGTGTGAATATTTTGTGCAATCTCTAAATTACTTTTCACTTGTGTGCTATATCACAGTCCTTTATTGTTAATTTTTTGTTCCCTTTTTTGTGGTGGGCTTTGGAGAGGGCTTGAGTGTTCCTGACCTTCAAATAGGGGAAGGGGATAGATGTTAAAAAAAAAAAAAAAATTACCTCACAGCTGTAGAGAAGTAGTATCTGACTACAGTCTGATCTAAACAACACATCTGGCCAAAGCTCTGGAATCAAGACAGCTCTGTCCTTCACAAGCTTTCTTTTTGGCTTGATAAAGACAAAAAAGGAAAGGAGTTAAGTCTTTCACAGCATAAAACCAAAACTGAGTGCCTAATATTTCTGATGAACAACAATTCTTGTTTTTTCATGCACAGCTAAATCTGAAATTTTTGACAGTTCCAGACAGTGTTTTAGCACAAGGTATAAATACTGCTTGTTGTTTTGAAAGTATAAGGGAAACTGTAAGCAAGGAGATTGTAACTACCCTGAAGTAGAATTGATCCAAACCTAGAAGATAATGCTTTAAAAATTTGAAAAGAATGGGAACAAATTGGCAAAAGATTGTCCTCCACACAGGTGGGGTATTCTGGATTCGATCAGGCTAGTGTAAGCGAAAGACTATTATCTAGCAAGGCTGGAATTCCCTTTCAGTCAAGATCATACAGAAAAGAAGCTCAACTTCGAAGCCGTAATCCAAAACACGTTTTATAGGCCAGTGATGCATAGCTGCCTAAAGACTTTTTTTCAATGTGTCTTTGCTGCAGATGCCGTGTTCTGTGAGAACACTGAACCTCGCTCTCTTCAGGATAAACAGAAGCGAGCAAAGCAGACTTTTGAAGAAATGATGAGATACATTCCAGGTTCTGTATTTCATGACTCTCTATATGACTATGGTTAATTGTTCAAGCAGATATAACCCAAGTACAGTCACATTAGCTTTCCAAATCAGTAGTTACACTGCTGAGATTTGAGTTGACTAGAATACTAGGTGTAAAACCCCAGGAGTTCAGTTTCGTCACTGAAGCGTTGCTGAATAAGGTTGTAACATAGTGATTAATAAAGACATGATGGAAATAGAGCTTTACAAATGTATTTCATACCATAATTTCTTCATCTTTAGAATGCTCCTATGGTTTGTATTTTATCCAGATGAAAACTGGGTTAAAAAATGCACACCATGAAGCCAGAAGATAAATCTTGAGCTCTCCTTACACTGTATAAACTAGGGAAGAGGGTCCAATTTGCTAGGTTAGTCAGTAATTTAAAAAATTCAGCTTATGGCTTGTTAAACAATGCATTAGGAAAATACATTGATATTATAAACTATAACAATTACTGAGGTGTCCAACCCTGAAGGAAAGGGAGGAAAAAAGGAAGAACCAAAGGAGTGTTTGTTTTTCCATTTACCACTTTAGATGGATAAAATTTGAAGTCTTTCTTCAGTTTAAACTTTTTTTTTAATTACTGTAGTTCTAGAACTGTATCATATATGTGTTTTGCAGTGCTTCCTAACGACTTGTGTATTTATTGTTGGTGTCTGGCCTAGATTTAATAGGCAAGTGCATTGGGGAAGAGGCTAAATACGAAGGCATCAGGCTTCTGTTTGATGGAATGCAGCAGCCAGTGCTCAACAAACAGGTGACTTGCAACACGCGAGAAACGTGCCTTTTGGCACAGGATATCCTGAAGTGAATGTATGGCTGTGGTGGAGGAGTGAGCTCTAATTCAGTTAAAAATAAAAAGCAGTAGTCTTGCCTTGGAGTGTTCTTAATTTTCTTTCTTTTCTTTTAGTTAACTTACGTTCTGCTGGATATTGGGATTCAAGAACTCTTTCCAGAGCTGAGTAAGGTATGTACTACCTCAATCAAAGAGCTGCAGAATCCTTCAAGCTGCTAGTGAGTCTCTGGTCATTGGTGCGTTTTTGCTGTTGTTCCCTTGTAACACTAATTTTAAGTTTTTGGAAACATCTATATTTTACTAATGTGTTGAAATCACCAAAATCTGGATTATTTAAATTTTTGTTGATAAACTCTTCTCAAATCAGTTTAGGCCCATTTGTCCAGCATAGAGCAAGTCTGAGCCGCCTTTCAGTAGAATTGGACAGATCAGTCGGCGGTCGGGATCTCTGTGCCTTTCTTTCTGATTGATTGTCTCCACTCTATTTTATGCATTTCCTGATTTAGGAAGTGAATTCTGCATGCAGAGCTCAGGTCGAGCTTCAGCATTTTTCTTGAGAATATTTGGCAGGAGAATATTTCTTACCTCTAGTTTGGTCACTGCAATGTTAACTCCAACTATCCAGATAAAGGAGAAAGAATTCGCACAACAAAAAATGCTGTATAAATGCATATCGTTAGATTTGTGATCCATCTGATGTTTGTACTTATGTATATAAAACCTTCACAGAGTTTTACATAGTAATTTTACAGTTTGGTCTTCATGGTAAGCAGGAGATATTAGCTAGTTAACTAGATATAAAAAGAAAACCAACAAAAAAACCCCTCACTTATAATAGATGTTCATTCCATGAGCACTGTGTCTGACAGCTGTGGAGTGCCAGCAGTGGTTTGTTTTGCATGATAAATAGAAACAAATGATAGATGTCAGAACAGGCTAGGGTACCTTCCGTTGTTCTCACTGAAATAAGACCAGCTTAGCAAGCCTAACCTACTTCTGTGCATCATCTCTGTAGCTGGCCTCCTCACCTCTTCAGAACATCGATGTTTTTTCAGTTGATGCTGAAAAAAAGCTAAAGGCTTTGTGTGTTAAGCATTTAAATAGTCTTTAAAGCACTGGTCAGGCCCAGAGGGTGGTGATCAGTGGAATGAAGTCTAGTTGGAGGCCAGTAACCAGGGAGGTATCCCAGGAGTCAGTTCAGGGTCCAGTCCTGTTTAACATCTTCATTAATGATCTGGATGATGGGGCAGAGTGCAAGGCTGCTGCTGGCACAGAACTGGAAGAAGTGGGTGATACACGAAAGGGTTGTGCTGCCGTCCAGAGGGACCTCGACAGGCTGGAGAAATGGGCTGACAGGAACCTCGTGAAATTCAACAAAGGGAAGTGCAAAGGGAGGAACAACCCCAGGCACCAGTATATGCTGGGAGCCACCCAGCTGGAAAGTAGGTTGGCAGAAAAGGACCTGGGGGCCCTGGTGGGCACCAAGTTGACCATGAGCCAGCAATGTGCCTTTGCTGCAAAGAAAGCAAATGGTATCCTGGGCTGCACTGGGAGGAGTGTTGCCAGCAGGTCAAGGGAGGTGATGCTGCCCCTCTACTACACTGGTGAGGCCACACCTGGAGTGCTGTGTCCAGGTCTAATGCTACCTTTGGTCCTGGTGAAACAGCAGAGTTGAGGCCTGGGCTCCCCTTGCCCCCTGTGACTGAAGGTGATGGGAACAGAGCGAGGGAATTCACTGGCCCAGATTTTGGTAGAGGAAAGGAAGAGAAAATACTCTAACCAGGAACTTCAGCCATTTTCCTCTTTTGGATGTACCAAGAGAAATGCAGAATGAAGTATTGCTTTTGTGACGTTTGACAGCGGGACCTGGGCATGGGTGTGCTAGGACTGTGGTGGACTGAGGCAGGCAGCTGAGGAGGGAAATGCAAGGTGGAGAGGGTGTGGGCGGAGGGTAGTGGTTTTCATCTGGAGCCCTAAATAAATAAAAAAAACAATTCCCCCAAATCACTGCAAACTGACTGTGAAGCCATTTGGGAAAAGAATTGTTTCCTCCAAACAATTGTAATGGGCAAGTATAAAAGTAATGACTGGTTCTTACCCATTTGTCAGTCATATTGGGGGGGGGGGGGGGGGTGTTAGAAATCACTCCAGTGACTATTCTGTCTGTTCAACAGAGACTGCTCCTTTTTGAGTTGCTTGATACCAAAATGTGTTTGTAGTTACAGCAAAGAAAGGAAAAAAATTTCGGGTCAGTCAGCATTTAAAGGGAAAACTGAGCATCCTGGAAGTTTTGCTTTGAGTACTGCTTCTTCAGCAGGGGAAACGGCAATGGGAGAAATGGGAAGATTTTCATTAGCAGGGATGTCAGTCTGCTTCGCACTCTAGAGATCTGATATCTTGAAGGTATATCCTGCTACACATACTGATGCAGATATATACTGGATCACTTCAGATGCACTGTGTTTAATGGCAGCATGTGTAAGTGAACAAGTTCTAAGCATAAAAGCTGAAAAACACCTAATATATGAGTTTTGCCTTTGATGCAATGTACAGCCGGTCCCTTGGGAGTCTGTTAGGATACAAGGAAAAGGGATAGCTGAGAGAGGAGAAGCATTCCTAGCAGAGGAAGGAAAGAAGTTGAAAAAATAATCATGCCAGTGCCATTTCCAGAGCAGAAAATTGTATTTAGCAGTTAGGAATGGGAGAGGCGAGAACTTCCAGAGAAAGAAGAAAGTACCTATTTTGAGAAATAGTATTAAAAACCTGAAAGCAGTAGCCTTCCTTTCTCTTAACTCTGGCTTCAAGTGGATGTTTTCAAATACCATTACTCATTGCAGCTTGGTTCAGTCATTTATATGTAAATATGCATTTTCATACTTAATAAGTAATTTTTTTTTTCTCCATTACTGTTTGGCAGGGTCCGAAGGAAGCTAGCTCTGTGTCATGTTGGATGTGAATGCAGAGACCTTGCCGGACACCCAGCAGAAACACCTGCTGTGCACTATTGTAATGGACATGTGACATTTTAACCTTGCATTGTATATTTTCTTGTAAATAACTTAAAATTTAAGTTCTAAAAAAATCTCTTTATGCAATAAAGACATTAAAATTTAATACCAATTACAAGTAAATAATATATCTGTACTTTTTATTTAAAATTTGTTTTAGCTGTTATCAGTAAAAGTCAAATTAATTTCCCCAAAATCTCAGTGTGTGAAATTACAGGACTACATAAAATAAGACAGCTGGGAGACCAGCCAATGTGTGCTTTGCTAGAAGAGCAATTACTGTTGTCTTCCTTAAAGGTTATGTAGAAAAATTGTTTGGAAGAAGTTGTAGAATGCTCCCATGAAGTTTTTTTTTTAACTGTTTTAATAAATCTTACTAGTTTTTTTTAAAACAAAATTACACAATTGAATCTATTGCATACAAATAATCTCAGAACTATCTTTGGCCTTCATGCTTTCTGTGAGCATGGAAAATCATGTGTGTACTTAATATCTGATGTTCAAATTTAAAGCACTCTTAAAATAATAATGGGTGTGAAAAGTGGTTTTGACTTTTACGTTAGCCTTTATTTTTCTGCAATTTCACACCTGGGTTCGTCGGGTTTTTTCTGACATCCTCTTTACAGGCTTAGAAAAGAGAATGTGAGTCTGTTCATAGCATTTTCTAAAACTTTATTAGTATAAAAATGTGTGGAAGACTTTTCCTGTAAATCTTAATTTGTTGGCCCAGCCTTTATAAAAGAGACTTTGAAAAGGACTTTCATGCGTGGATTTTTAAACAAGTTTTACTCGGAGAACAATAGAGAGATAATAGGCATTCCTCAGTTTTTTTCAGACAACACCCATTTTCTCCTTTTACAAACGAACTAATCTAATGCAGTGTTCGTGTCCTCTTGTCAATACAATTAGCATAATATCTGTATTACTTTTGCATACCTTTTCCTTCTGTATGTCAGAAGAAGGTAAAAGTGTTATTTCTCCCTGGGTATGCTGAAGGAGCAGTCACAACTCTTAAAAACTGGTGTGCAGGTACAGCCCGGTCCACAAGTGCACTCTCTGTTACTGGTTTTATGTTGATTTGGGGAAGACCATTCTGTAAACTAGTAACTTTAGGGGCTGGTATTGACAAATCATCAATGCCATGTTATAACTAGTAGTGTGTCAAGGTCAGTTGTTGTTTTGTCTCCCTGTTCTAACACAGCTTACCCAATGCAGCTGTGTAGTCCAGATCTTTTCATGCACAACCCTTGAATTTATGTGGAAACTAACGAGGTCTTGAAATTTAACATACTGAATGCTTATCTTAATGCACCTTCTCCTTTGAAATCTGCAGGTGCAGTGAATTTAAGAGGTGAGTAGCTTGGGTCTGAAAAAGAGTGTAGTGTGCTTTCCAGAAAGACAGAGCAGGTTTATTCAAAACACTGAGAATCAGTTTAATACAGCAATAAACAACATGGAAACATGTTGATGTCAAAATTCCAAATATGAACAAACCTTAAAAACATAATCATCGTTTGCACTCATTTATAAGCAATCGCTTCTTGATAAAATGTCAGAAATGTAGACTTAGCATTTAAGCTGATTTCTCATTTTATACTCATTAGCCTTATCTCTTACAGCTGTGTATTTTTTTTTAAACACAGCCTTCCCTTAGAGAGAGATGGGCTTTTGAGTTATGATCACAATTATGATAAAGCCAGGTTATGCTGTAAAAAGCCCCATTACTGGGCAACTCCAAAGCTTGCCACAGTGCTGCAGGAGTCAATGTGTGTATGCAACGTTCTCTGAATGTGGCTGATACAGAGTAATGCTCAGGGGTCCTGTGCTTTGGTCTTTGGAAAAAGGTGTAAAATTGAGCACGTTGATATGAAACATAATCATAGATTGTGTTCTCACTCTACATATAGTCCCCAAATTGGTCGTATTAAATTGTGAAGTGTATAGATACTCAATTTGTTAAAATTGATCAAAATCAAGTCAAGCTTTTATTGCATCCTTTATTAATGGAAAATATAAGTGAGGTGTTACATCTTCAAAAGTAAAATGGAAAAACTTGTTTTAATTGCCTGTAAATGGACCTCATGCTTTCAATGACACCAAGTTTAATCTAGCTCTTTAAGGCATTTGGTGTAGGTATGATAAATATGGCTGGAAGCAGAGCAGAATTACTAGAGTGAAAGCTATAACCCTGAGTGTAGTTCAAAGGAAGGTATATATACCTTTAATAAATCTATTTCTAGAAGCTTGCTTACATTACTGGAATCAAACTCTTAATCAACTTGCTATCTAAAGCAGCTAAAAGAATCTGAAAAAATAAAAATACCCCATTGTTGGTTGTTTCATGATGGAGCATTAGTATTCACTGGAACTTTGCTTCTTGAAACCTCAAACTGAATTGCAGGTACCTGCTGACTGAAACTAAGATAAGTCATGAATTCTGCCTACTCCTTGTGTGCAGTGTGCTTCAATGACCCTACCAGATTAAAGGCAATTGCTTGTGCTGTTTACTGATGACATGCAGAAACCTAAACATTTCATTTTAAGGTGTAAGAAAAGAGAACAGTTCTCTTTTCCCTTTGTCAGCATCATCTCTCCTCTTGCCTTCCTCCAAACAAAAACATTGTGAGCAAAAATCAAGTATGCAAGAATGTTACAGTGAACAATACAGAAATCAGGGTAAGACTTCCCTCAGTAAGACTTCCAGAAGAAAACTTTATTCGACCTTCAACTGCTGGGTAAACTCTTTTCATTCTCTGGAGGTAACGGGAAACAACCTCAATATCAGGTTCACCTAAACAAACAAACAAAAAAAGGTACAGCGTTCTCTGCAGTAGCCAAACTCTGAACTAAAATTTAAGAACCTGTCTAAAACGGCAGTTTTAGCTCATGTCTTAAAGCAAACTGTTTTCTACAGTTTGCTGTTCTGAATCTGTATCTCTTGATGTGTAGGGGTGTGGTGAGTTGTTTTCTGTGTACAGATAAAACATCTTGAGGTGGTCTGTAGCCAGAATTTTTGGTAGCAACTCATATTTTACTAAAAAAAGAATTATTTTTCCATCATCTGGCTTCTTTTTGTTTGTTTTGCATGTTACAATGGTAACTTCCAGTCAGATTTAGGTAGATTGCGACAGTCTCCTAGCTGTTTCAGGCAGAGTGCTATATATCTGGCAAAGCTATTGCTTACACCTCTTCCATCACTGGTGACAACCATGTCACGAGCCCCTTCTGATCCAAGTTTTTGCAATCCTGAAGTGCAACACCTCCATCCTAAAAAAAATTATAGCCCCTCTGCTATACTGGAAGACTTTAGCAGAACCTTTCAAGTTGTTCCCTTTCATTATTCCTAATGATTTCTCTCTATGTGAATTTGTTTCTGCATACACAGATGCTTACTGAAAACTACAGCTCCACCAAATTCACAAGCTGTTAGCTAAATTTGATTTAAAATGCCAGTCCTGTGAGAATCAATTTTAAATTGAAACACCCTGTAGAACCAAAAAAATAGTCTGTAACAAAGGTCCAAAATGAAAATTTTTGTGGTAAAAGCATGCTTTTACCATCCAGAAGCAGAACATATGAAACTAAAGTTCTGTAAGATGTAGATGTGCTCCTAGAAGACTCTATTTAAAAAAAAAAAATCTTTGTCTTTTCACATCCTATTTGTGTTTTCAGAAATAATGAATTTTAATCTCAAAATTTTTTTCAATTTTCTCTTTGTCCTAAAAGATGCAGAAGTCAATTGTATGAATGCTGAATTTCTAACAGTTTGCATGCAACTTTAGTGGGTCTTAACACAGCACTGTAAAACATTTACTTTCTACCTCTCTAGCGTGGTGTCTGCCGGCACCCTGCGTGCTGCTGCTGGCAGAACTTGTGGGAGTCCCGCTGCTTTCGGAGGGGCAGGCTAATTCCCGCAGAGCGAGTCGGCATCTTTCCGCTTGCCCTCTGTGTTCCTTGCCTGAGCTGCATGTCCTTTAGGAGTAGAGGTGACGATTCTGTCTTTGCAAATACTTCTGCACAGTGGAAATTTAAGGTCTAAAGAGAACAGTACCTTCCTTTTTCATGCATTGTTTTGTAATGAGTACAAGTCCAAGGCAGTACACGTAATGTGTACTCTCTATATGATCTATCATGATCTTTTTATCATGGTTTATCATGATCTCAGAACTGCTTTCTAAGCAGTGCTGAATTGATAAGGCTCAGTTTCTCTTTGTGACTTTTGTGATTTAACTGAAGAAGAACATAGTTGCTGGCTACAACAAAAACTAGCAATCCAGAGCAGTCAGGTTAGAAGCAAATTTAATCTATCCAATAAAAGCAGAAAATCTGAGACTTGTAATATAAAAAGATCTTTTAACTTTTAGGAATTATTTGTCTGCTACCCTGTTGGTGCCCATACTTACCTTTACTGTATCCCAGATTTTTGTCTTTAAACATACGATAGCCATCTCCTCCAAATAACATATAGGATGGAAGAGTCACGTTGTATATTTCATCCATCTGGAGTGGGACGTAGGCTGGGACTCGGCAGGCCGTGCAAAGCACTTCTAAGCTAACAACTCTACTTCCTGGGGCTCTGGAGAGATCATAAACCACATGGATGCCTACGAAAATACATGTTTGAATGCCACTTTATGCAGTGCCTATTGAACATACAGGGCTAGAAGCAGCATCTTCCACCATTTTCAATGGATTCTTTATATTAGTTTCTGTGACTAAGAGGTTGTATTGTTTGATACCAGCTAATTTCCATTTTCTTTGCACAATAATCAACTTTTATTCAAGCAAATTCATGAGATTAGAGAATTGCTGCAATACTGTCCCACCTCAGTTACTTATCTGCTCATCTGGTCTCTTCTTGTCACTACTCCACAGAAGGAAATTACTGGTCTTGGCACTAGGATGCTGTGAGATAAAAATACCTTCCCTTATTTCTGAAGTCATATGCTTTCTCACTCCACTGTCTTGTTGGCTGACATGACTTCTTTTAAAGGCAGCCAGCCACCCTAACCCAGCAGCTATTATGGATAATAAGTACTGTCCTGAAAAAAGCAAGCCAGGCCAAGGCTGAACGTTGTGGTTTCTACTCATTGTAGCAGTAATGTTTCTAGTTGCAAGCCTTCCTCAGTCAAAGTCTGGGGAGAGTTAGGCCCCCAGAACAGCACTACAAAGAATTTGCTGATCAGGAAGCCACTTAAAGCTAGTCCAAAGCGTGGAGGGTCTTCCAATCCTGGTGCTCTTCCTGCTCTGGATCTTCTGTCCTGAACCCTTTCCAGAGCTAACTAGTTATCTTCTTCTGCGAGAAGGCAGCAAGCAGAGGGGCTGCTGCTGCTTTACCTTAGTGGTACCCAAGAACGTGGTAACTTGTGAAAGCACTTGCCTCGTGTGCAAGATGTGGGATTGCATGGTGGGGAAATGCCCCCATCACCAGGCTACGTGGCGGGGGAGAGGCATGGAGGGGGAGAAATCCCTCAGCCCCTGCCCTTGAAGTTCAGCTTTTCTGCTAAATAAACAATAACATCTGCACCGCATCACAGAGAGACGGGGAGTAAATGTGACTGTAGCCTAGTACACATCTGGATGAAAATAGGGAGCTGCAATTCAAGAAATGTGAATGTTTTTAATATTAACTGTTTATCCCTAAAATATTTAGAAATTCACTGGAGCAATTCCATAGCCCACTTGGACTACCTCTAAAACTGTCAGCAATCATTAGACAATGTCACCAAATTATTTTGATAAACTGAACTTTGGCAGTAACTGGCAGAGACATCCAGTTTGGGGCTTCAGGTAGGCTGCCAGTGAAGAACTGAAAACAGGAGTCTGTTGTAGCGATTGCTGTATAACAGCCACACTCAATTATATCTTCCTGTAGTTAATTGTAGTGTTAAACGGCTGGCATTGCGGGTTACTGAACCAACTGGGAATCCTGTCTGCTGAAGGGAACAGCGATGGCCTGTGTGCTGCAGCAGCTCAACTAAACATACGCGGGATAAACAGCGTCAGTTAGCAGGCACGCATGAGGGACGGAGCCAGGATGTATGGCTGATTTGATTTCCATTCTTAAAGTGGCTTCCAGGTGCAATACAAACAAGGCCAACAGAAGGGATGCCTGGCTTGGAAAACTGAGAAGAGAAATGAAGAAAACATACCTCCAACCTGCAGCAGCTCTCCGCTTCCGCCTCCATATCTGTGCACACTGTGTTCAAAAGCTTCTTTCAGAGTGGAGCCTTTTACCCTTACCAAATCAAAACGACCTCCAAATGGCAAAACAGACAGCAAATCTTCCACAGTAATGCTACCTGGGGAATGAGACTTTGTTTACGTTAATTTTTTTTTAAGTCTACAATATAATTTTAGGATTGTTTCACAGTACGCTTTTGACAAGGAACGTGGCAAATACAATTTGAGGAAGTGAGGGCCAGTAGAGGTGAGGATCACATCCAAACCAAAGAACCTGCGTCTTTATCATCCAGCATGTACCAAGATCGAGAAATCCAAGTTTGATGTTGCTATTCAAATAACTCTGCTGAAAGAGATTACAAACCACCAACCGAAGATGAAGAAAAACAGATATTCTTACAAAAAGTCAGGCAATTTTTCCAATTTACTCACATAGTCCTACAGAAAGATTCAGCTACATTGAAAAAGGTGTTTCAGTTTTCATTTATGCAATATCAGGAAAATAAAAACTGTAAAACCTTACCATTCAGAAAACCCTAGAATTCACTTATAACAGCAGACTACAGAGGGCTCCCAGCAACCATACCGTATGACCTCTACAGTAGGAGGTGAAGAATATCCACTGTCTTTGTTCCATAGCAGCAAGGAGAAGGAAATTATAAAAAGCACTATGTACAAACAATGCTAGTAACTTCTATTAATGTCCGCCTCAGTGCAGTTGTGCTCTCATGATGGATAACCATTTGAGAAAGTTTGAAATCACTTCCAAACACTGTGCAAATCCCATCAAAACAAGCCCATACCTAACACTGGGTTCAGGCTTGCATAACAACTTGATTCTTCCTTCTTGATAAAGTTGTCATTCCACTTGTAATTTTACGTACCATTAGTGGTCTGTTCGTCAATGGGTGACCGTATCCCACCTCCATTCAGGATGCACATTGAAACATGGTTCCATGACTTTCTATCTGGATGTCCAACATTCTCATGAAGCTGCCAAGGGAAAATGTTTAAACTGATTTTTTAATCTTCACTTAGTCTAGGCTCGGGCAATTTACATCCAATACAATCTGAGACTGAAAAGACACAGAAAGGTCTTATATCTTCTTTGACATTACCTTCAGCCCCACTGCAAAATGCTGAATTATTACAGAACAAGGCAAAAAACATTACAGTAAGTATTTTGCTTTTTTTAAACTTTTAACAAGAAAAAATATTTGCCGCCTTCTGTAATGAATTCTTGGATTCTCCCATAGTCTGTGTGTATATGACATGACCAGGGAAGGCCAGCTGAACAAAGGAAGGATGGTATTTTGATTCCAACCACTGTGATAAAGACAAACGATTTGAGCATACTTGGAGAATTGGGAAGTGAAGAGGACCTTAAATATAGCTGCACATTAAAAACATGTAGGGGAATGTATAAATTAATCTAACTCTTGTTGTACATTTTTGGGAATTAAGAGTTTTCAGCTTCTCTGAGGCTGATCTTTAATATTTGGAATGGTCTTGACAAACTAGAAAGATGTAGAAGAGTGGAGGAACTGGAAAAAGATGTATCAGATGAGACCCAAAAGTCTACTCTGTACAGCATTGTGTCTCCAACAGTAGCAAAGCTCTGACAAAAGCAAGTTGCAAGGACAAGATAATATTTGCTTGAGACATCCTAAGTAGTACAGAAAATGGAGACTGGGGATTTACTCAGTTGCATAAGTATGATAAGCCTACAGTGTTAATCTTCAGAAATAACTGAGTAGAACAGGAAAAGGTTAAGAAAAGAAACAAAGGTAATGGAAGGAATGGACTAATTTCTGTACAGGAAAGACTATGGTTATGACTCTTCCATCTCACAAAGACAGAAAATACAGGAAGGACATGACAGAAGTCTATAAAATCAAGGGGGGCATGTGGAGGCTGGGTAAGAATCAATGTGTTTTCTCATTTCAAGAATGATGAAAAACTAAGAAAGATCCAGACAGGGATGACAAGAATGGTCACAGACACAGAAAAGCTTCTGAATGTAGAATGATGATGTATGCTTGGACTGTCTGACCTGGTAAAGAGACAATGGAAGGAAAATATTTGAGAAGCCTATAAAATCATGAGTGGTGTGAAGAGGGTGGACAACGACCAAGTGTTCCAGTGCAAGGACTACTCCTTGGCCTCCTCCAGCAGGCATCCAGCCAGCGGGCAGCAGGCTGCACACAGACAAAAGACCAAGGTCTCTGCAGGATGCACAGG